CTTCAAGAGGAGCTCATGAAGGTCGGCCAAGCAGCCTATGCCAACACCGGAGCCAGCCCTCCTCCAGGCGATGCAGCTGATGCTGGATCTCCACCCCCTGGTGATGCCAAGGCTGAAGCCAAGGGCAAGGATGATGTCATTGATGTGGACGGGCAGTGAGATGGGCTTTACAAGAGGTACAGATTGCAGTTGAAAGTCGAAAGTGTTGTACACGGCACTGAGAAAGCCAAACAAGAAGCAGCTGAGCACAAAGGAAGCGGCTGAGCACTGGATCCCAGCCTGAGGATCTAGTGCTGTGTTGGGTACAGAATATCGTGAGCGCTAATGTGCAGCACGATTTGGTGCACAAGTTGCACTATAATTTTACTGACTAACACGGCTGAGCGGCCTAGAAACACTCTCGACCAGCGTTGGAAAGAAGAGCTGTGCACGCTGCAAGTTGCTTTGACTTTTATTTTTGCACGTGAAAAGACAGACAGACGTACACAGCTGGGGGTTCGTCAAGATTTTTTTCTGAGCAGCACAGCAATGTGTGGGATAGCTTGATTGGGCTGCAGAACCTACGTTAGGGCAATTTTGTTGGAAGCATCTAACGAAAGCAGGCCAGGACCGCAAATGATTGAAAGGGGAACAGTATTGATGCTTCAAAATGGTGAACACTGAGTGCAGTGTTGGCTGAATATATGTTGCCCTTGAAGGTCAAGTATGGTGTCCAAGAAGGCTCGTGCAGCTGCAGCCTGCGCTGGTTTGGGAGGGCATCAGCCTCAGCTTGAGGATGCTTTTCTTTGAGCACTGACGACATCATCGCAAGAGTCTAAAGGCTGGCCTTTGTGGCAACACCAGGCATGGCCGAGTGTGTCATGCAAGCTCTTTTTTGTTCACAAGGCAGATGCACATTTTTGTCAGGCTCAGTTGCTCGCCGTGCTCCCGCAGCTGAGATCAGTGCAGCTGGCAAGGTGCGCCCTCGTGTTTCTCTTTTTTGCAGTATATAAACACATATGCGCACATTCGTGAAAAAGGTGAGATATATACCAGTTTTCTGATGTCTGAACTTCTTCGATTGTTTGCCAGCACTCCCTTTTCTCAAGATTACTTTCTGTCTACGTCATGTAGCTTGTGAGGCTCCTGTTGCCGACAGCAAGGGCCTCGGTCCTTTCAAACTCTTGCTCTGGCACAAACGCAGAAGCCGAGAGATGAACATACAGAGAGAGAGAGAGAGAGAGAGAGAAAAAAACACAACAAGAAAAGACATAGAAGTTGACGGCAGAGAAAAGTCCATTGAGGCAGCAGTGCTTTCACTGTGGGTGCGGCTGCTGTGACAGCTGCTGGGGCAGTTGCTGCCTCCGTGCGAAGGAAGTACCGCCCATCCAAAGCCGGGCGCTCTTTTTTCTTGTGACTCGTAGAGAGTGCAAGCATTTGAACATATCCGACTGATTGTCAAAGAACCGCTGGCGTTGAGGTCGCCGCACGTGCTGAAGTTGCACCAGGTGAGAAGGTCGTTGGAATTGACTTGGGCACAACCAACTCTGCCGTGGCTGCCATGGAGGTTTTGAACTAAGACATCCGTTGAGTTTTGGATGCCGACACATCAGCTTTCCTGCCTTCGTGGCTAGGACCAGGTTTTCTTGTGCTATTGTGGCTATTATGCCGAGGCTGGAACTCCCACTGTGATCCCCAATGCAGAGGGAGCCCGAACTACACCCAGCGTAGTGGCCTACTCCAAGAGCGGTGAGCTTTTGGTTGGGCAGATTGCAAAGCGCCAGGAGGGGAATCGTTGTGGTGAGTACTAGTGTGGAACAGATACCTCCAACAATCATGGAAGTGGAAAACGGCCTGTTAGTAGAGGAAAACAGTCTTCCAAGGGGCCATGTTCCACTTCCATGTTTGCTGATGGAGGGTAATTGTTGATCACAGAATTCTGCTATAGCGATCTGCAGGCTGTGGTGAACCCTGAGAACACCTTTTACTCGGTGAAGCGCTTTGTTGGTCGCCAGCCCGATGAAGTCAAAGAGGAGCTGAAGGAGGTGTCCTACAAGGTGGACTTCGAAGGGCAAAAAGTGAAGATCGACTGCCCAGTGATGAGCAAAAAGTTTGCCCCAGAGGAGGTCTCTGCACAGGTGCTTCGAAAGCTGAGTGCCGATGCTGGAAAGTACTTGAGCGCCAATGTCCAGAAGGTGGCTGGGGTTCGTATCAATCCGGAAAACAATGGAACACATCTAGGACCTAGGAGTATTTGTCAAGCGAGATTATAATATGATCCACATTCTCGCCTCTTTCTTGGGACATCTTTGTTTGTTGCGACATCTTCGGCATTTTCGTTGGATCGGACGTCGGGCCAATGGTTTTTGTTTTGCAGCCACTCTCAGACTTAGTGAACCGGTGGAAGACCATGTTTTACTCTACAAGTTGTTTTTTCCAACTCCGTGTTCGTGTCGGAGTGTATGAGTTGACTTCGGCTTGCGAAGTTTCTACCTCACCGTTTTTCATGGCCCATTCCACTATGTTCTGGAACAAAGTGAGTCTTTGATGCTATATTTGGAATGGACAATCATTTCAGTCTTGGCCGTTGCTGTTAGCCAATATGCATCGGCCCCCCTTTTTCAGAAGTATCGTGAGCGCCACAATGAGAAGACCGTCTTCATAAGACGTAGAGTCTGTAGATCTATTATAGTATATAGAGCTTGATTGCCCATGATTCCAGGCTGTTGTGACCGTGCCGGCTTATTTCAATGATTCTCAGCGCCAGGCGGGGACGACGTCGGCCGAGACTCGCCGACGACCGCGGCGCGGGACATGGGAATTCAGTCTGCGCGCAGACGCAGACGCGCAGACTGGACAGCGGCGGTTGGAGACGGGACAGCGGCCTCCCAAGAGCATCCGATCGTGACCAGTCGGTCACCCGAGACTCATATCAATGAGAAAGATGGAAAAAAGATGAGAGCTTTCTCTTGGGATTTCTTTTTTTACTCGAACACTCAGGTGCACCCGAACTGTCCACCTGCTGGATTCGAGCTCTTCGTGAAACGTGAAACCATCCCGAGTCCCTGCAAAGCTCTGGTGTTTGGTCTTCGGGAGAAAGGTTTCACTCCGCTTTCTCATCCAACAGGTGGACAGTTCGGGTGCACCTGGATTTTCAACGTCTCGGGAGTCACAGACAGTTGCACTAATTGAGCTCTGTCACTGTCGGAGGCCACCAAGGATGCGGGGAAGATTGCCGGATTGGACGTGCTGCGTATTGTGAACGAGCCCACAGCAGCATCGCTGGCCTATGGCCTGGAAAAGAAGAACAACGAGACAATTTTGGTCTTTGACTTGGGAGGTGGCACCTTTGACGTCTCAGTCTTGGAGGTTGGCGACGGTGTTTGCGAAGTCTTGGCCACACACGGCGACACTCACCTGGGTGGCGATGACTTCGACAAGGTCGTTGTTGATTGGCTGGCCGAGGATTTCCAGAAGAAGGAGGCAGGGCTTGCACTTCCTTGAGCTTGATCGTGCTTTTTTCTTCGGATTTTTTAATGTTTTTTTTTTTTTAATGGATGGAATGCTTCATGCACAGGGCATCGACCTCTTGAAGGACAAGCAAGCTTTGCAGCGTCTGACTGAGGCGGCGGAGAAGGCCAAGATTGAGCTTTCTGGTGTGCAGGAGGCCAGAATGCTTGAAACTCTTAAAGAGAATCCGTTTTTTAATGTTTTTTTAGCTTCTTGATGTAGAGTGTAGTTTGAAAGGCCAAGATTTCTCTGCCTTTCATCACTGCGGATGCC